GAAAATCGAGCGAGACCAGCGGCTCGTCGTCACCACTTCCTTATCTCTCCTCTTATTCATGTCAGTTTTCTTGGATACATGCAGAAAACATTGCGATTTTCACCCAGCTTCTCACTGTACAACAATGGCTTTCCTTTCTACCCCTGGGCCCATAACCTGTTGGCAGAGTATACCAAACATCACACGATAACGTCGTCTTTCTTTAGCGTTTCACACCAATTTGTGCTGACGCACTACCTTTTATTAGCCAATACTAAAAACACTCAGGTGCAATCATTCAAATCCTAATTAGGTCACATGATCACTACATCTCTCAAATCACATACAAATCAATACAATATACAATGTACAATATGAAATACAAACACAATAAGAGATCAACAGAGGTGTTGATTGAGCTGTTCAATCATTCCGGAACAGGGCTTCTCAAAGTCCAGACTCCGGTAACTCAATCCGGACCCACGCCACACCTTGTATTAGGAACGCAATAATACAATGCAATGAAGTATGTTTCCTACTTTAAAAGAAAAATGGCTTATATGTATATGTAACCGGCGGGTTGGCCACGCCTACACCGCCTGGTTAGTAATTTGGCAGAATAATCATGGATATAAATAACGCTGTTGCGATAAGCAATTTCTGTGCTGGTCGCTGCCGTAACCGGTTTGAAGTGAATCTCCCTCCATTGATCTGTGTCCTGCTTCTCCTTTAAGGTATGTCCAACGGGCTGATTGTAGATCGGATCTGTAACAGTGCAACGTGTTTAATCAGGTTGTTTTGGTTGTAGACTGTTTGCCGCATGCTCTCCAGGAGCGGTAATTGATGCGAGCGTGATCCAGTAGTTGGCGTCCATTGCACATGCTGTGCTAGGGTGACGTGCAGCCAAGGTAACCTGCAGCATTGTTGGTTTTAATTGTTTTGATCATTTTTATACTATTCCTTAACAGTGGCTTTACTTGTTGCAGGGGTGATAGCCACTGCTGCTTTGCTGTGTTTGCTTTGCTTATGTAACCGGGGTATAATAATTACTCAAAATGTAATCGGGATGTAATATGTACACAGAATGTAACCGGGATGTAATCATTACACAAAACGTTTTGGTTCATGTGTAAGTTAATTCACATGCCTGGTCAGGGAAACCTCCACTCCACTAGGACTCGCAACTGAGCCATGCTTTTCTTCGTTGGTAGCCGGGTATAAAGAGGGGTCGC